GTCACAAGAATCATGACCGCGATGCGAAGTAATTACAGCACTTCAAGGTTCGACTGATGTAAGGCAAGTTAGTAGATTCGGTGGGAAGTGGCGGAGGTGTATGATCGCTCCCTGGGGTATAGTTGCTCAGCGTTGCATTCTTGAGCGCGGGTTTGTCGCGCACGAGTAGCACAGACCGATAGAACTAACCGCGGAAGGGTAAAGTTCTCTCCTGTACAGCGCAGGTCCTAGCTTAACACACGGCTCCCCCTAGGCTCACGATAACCGAGTCAGGCTTGTAGATTCACAAGCGATACTTGATTACCGCCCAACATACAGCTTAAAGCGAAATTTCTCTCTCACCGACACGACTAACGTGCGCGACGCGACGCACGCTACCGCAACACTACACACACACACACACTCTCTAGCATAGCTACACACACACACACACACACTGTGCACTACACTCACTGAACGACCTCTTCTCCTGCCTGCAACCATTTGATATAATTAAGCTAATACTACATGCCGCCAGAGTTATTTAGGACAGCCTTCTATTTTTGCTACTACTTGTCGTATTGAGTAGCAAATACTCTATTGATCACGAGAAACTGCCTGCGCATGGAATTACAGCGATGGGCTTATATACGTGTACTTGTTTATGATATATATATATAGTATAGTAGTAGTGTATATATATATAATATATAACCCCTCGGCTGTATTCCATGCAGGCAGTTTACGTGATCAATAGAGTATTTGCTACTCAAAGAACAGGTAGCAAAATAGAAGGCGCCTAAATAACTCTGGCGAGCTAATTATATAAATGGTTGCAGGCAGGAGAAGAGGCGTTCAGTGAGTGTGTGCACAGTGTGTGTGTGTGTGTGTGTGTGTGTGTGTGTGTGTGTGTGTGTGTGTGTGGGTGCGTTGTGTGTGTGTGTGTGTGTGTGTGTGTGTGTGTGTGTGTGTGCGTGCGTGCGTGCGTGCGTGCGTGCGTGCGTGCGTGCGTGTGTGAGAGAGAATTCGCGCGTATGTTGGGCGGTAATGTGTCGCTGTGAATCTACAGCTGACTCGGTTTATCGTGAGTCCGAGGGGGAGCTGTGTAAGCTAGGACTTTGATTTTCGACTATTGATCGTATAATTAGCGCATTTCTGCCCGAAACGATGCTGTTCCTGGCATTGCTTGACTTTTTCAGATACAATACGTACTCATTACTATGTACAAATACACACGTACAATTCACTTTTCATTCAAACTATATTTTTGCCTCTTATCTGGCAAGCCTCTTATTTATGCCTCTTATTTAGCGTGCGGCAACTTCCATTGGCTGGCACGATTTATCTTTCTGCTCGACATGATTGACAGATAGCTGTAGCCTATCAGTGTTGCGATAGGACGTTCTAAAAACAATACTTTGCACCGAGGTGCCATGCAGTAAACATTTTGGCATACTCTTCTGTAAAACCCTATACACACTTGATGAGCGTGACCGCCCTAGCAACCATGTCTAATGGCGGCCATGGTTATCTATCTCAGACAGGTGGATCAATTCTTACTGTAGTTTTCTAACTTTAGCATTCTAAGCTCCTAGCTTTAGCTTCCCTAACTTCTAACTAAGTGTTCTAGCTTGCCAAGTTTAAGAATACGTAAACCTCTATTTCATCTGCTCCTACAATTCCCTAAATGTTACAACCGTCCACTTTCCAACTTTTGTAATATAAATGTAATAGTGGCCATTTCAAAGTCTTTGGAGAAGATAGGTTAATTCAGCTATACTAGGTTGCTTTGATGTAACTTTTTTAAGTGGTTTTACAATAAGCTGAGAAGTTTTATCATTTTTAGCTCACCTTGACATCGTCAAAGCTGAGCTATTGCCGTGGGTCCGTCGTACGTCCGTCCGTCCGTCGCGTCCGTCCGTCCCGTTAACATTTGGCTACGTCAACGATAACTCGAGAACCGTTTGACCCACACAATTGGGTGTAGTTGTTACTGCTATGCCTCCCATATGATGAACGTCGTATTTTGGAGCACGCCAGTCGACGTACTTCGAGCGGCACGGCAATTCCATTAGTCAGTTCAGTTCAACGGATTGTTGCTCATTTTTGGTATGTGAATGAATAAAGGCTAGGGGTTTTGATATTTAAAAAAAAAACCGCGAAATTAGGTAGTTTTGCAATTATATAGCATATTACATAGACACGCAGATAAACAACAGTCTGTGGTGTCACACTGCGTCTGGTTCGTTTACAACGATTTCATTGACATATTTTTAATGCAAAATTGGTATTTCCTCTCCACCCTGCGATAAAAACGTCTATATTAGAGTAAAGTTTTTACAAAAAACATGTCGGAACGCAGCATAAGCTATTTATTTCGAACGCTATCGCTACAGAAACATCAAAGCGTGTATAGCACCATCTACCGTCACAAATTGTTATTCATTTTGGTTATAAATTATTGCCGATATACAGATGGCCGACCGTGTGCTACCGCCTAGAAAAACTCATACGTAGTATAACACTTCCATGCAACCAAGTTAACCTTTGACAAAAGTTGTGTTATGGGCAGGAAACCATTGTCACGTTGTATATAGCAGCTACGTGGAATAAGCGTATTCTCTCAATCTTACACGTTACACATCGGTGAGGTCTGCTTTAGGCAGTGCCTAATTGAATATTATAAAAGACGTTAAATGGCGATCATTTAAGGTGTAACACCATCACTCGCGACCACATCTCAGGTCACGATCTCAACATTTATTTTTCACATAAAAAATTACCATATAATTATCAAGAGTATATAATGGGAGTTTCTCCATATATACTCTTTGTTTATATAATGTACGTGCGGATGGTTGCTCAATTAAACTGACTTCTTCTCACTCACTCATTTGTGTCCTTTTTGTGGTGAGCTACAGTGTCATGACACTTTCATTTCGTCCTGTCTTGTGTGTAAACTGATATGACTTCAAAGTCAGCAGACATCATGGTGTATGCAAGGGGGGGTCGTGAGGGTCGTACGACCCCCCAAAAATTTTAAAAAGGTCACATTTTTTCCAAGACATTTTTTCGATGGCTTTTCACAATGACATAAATGAAAAAGCAAAATTCATCAGGTACCAGCAATGCAGTCCAAAGACATTGCAATTGCGTGACGTAAATCTATCCCATTCCAGCAATTCTGAAATGAGCCTTTTTTTGAAACAAAATTTTTTGTTAAAAAACCGAGTTAAAAAAAGAGAGACAAAGACTGACAAAGACAAAGGACAGACAGATCAAGACAAAGACAGACAAAGTTCAAAAAACTTGTTTTCAATCTGAGTCAGAAAACGTTTTCAAAAAAACTGATCAAAAAACTTTTTAAAACCTGCATAAAAAAAATTTTAACAAGTTTTTTGTTTTAATAAATTGTGATTGACATTTAATCACATCTTGCTGCTGTATTTCATTGTGAAAAGGCCCAAAAAATTATGATCACGACCCACCCAGAAAAAAATCCTGGATACACCCTGGACATTGCTAAGGATTTTTGGTTAAGCGTTTTCTCTATTAATAATGATTCATTTTTATTTTTTATTTTATTATTTTATTTTATTAATAATAATAATAATAAAATAAAAATAAAAATAATTAATTAAAACTACTGTAGGGCCTAAACGTGTTGCATACAGTAAGCTAATCAAGTCACAAGATATAATCATGATGTGAAAATCCTATTGCCACTGGCTAAAAGGATTGCTGCTCTGCATTAAGTATCTGAATATATTTCCTAGTGCGTTTCCAGACAGAATAAATTATTGATTGATTGAGTTTAGGGCGTTTCTTAAAATTTCGATATAAAAATTATGAAAATTCGACGTTGTAGTCACAGCTGGGAGGTGGTGGCGCCCATGCTCGCTATAGTTGTACTAACTACATTGTGTTTTATCTAGCATTGAGCGTTATGACGCGAGCACGAACATGTGGGAGGTGGTGGCGCCCATGCTCGCTATAGTTGTAGTAACACTACGTTGTACTATAGTTGTACTATGTTGTACTACATTGTACTACGTACTACGTTGTACTATGTTGTAGTACATTGTACTACGTACCACGTTGTACGCTAGTTGTAGTAACTACGTTGTGTTTCTATCTAGTGTGGAGCGCTACGACGCGAGCACGAACACGTGGGAGGTGGTGGCGCCCATGCTAGAGAAGCGCATCAACTTCAGCGTGGCGACGCTGCACGGCTTCATGTTCGTCGTCGGAGGGCAGAACTCTACGTCGCACCTGAGCAGCTGCGAGCGCTACGACGCGCAGACGAACCAGTGGACGTACGTCGCTAGCATGGAGCGGCCGCGCACAGGTACACACGTGCTCCTCGTAGCAGGGGTAGTATAGTAGTAGTAGTAGTAGTAGTAGTGGCGGCGGCGGCAGCAGCGGCAGTGGTAGCAGCAGTAGCAGTAGCAGTAGTAGTAGTAGTAGTGTAGTAGTAGTAGTAGTAGTAGTATACTAGTAGTAGTAGTAGTAGTAATAGTAGTAGTAGTAGTAGTAGTAGTAGTAGTAGTAGTAGTAATGGTAGTAGTAGTAGTAGTAGTAGTTAGTGTAGCCGTGTAGTGTAGTTTTATTAGTGTAGTATTAGTGTAGCCGTGGTAGACGATTGTACACATGTGTTACCTCTAGTCTACCTGTCTATTCTCTCTAGACGATTGTACACATGTGTTACCTCTAGTCTACCTGTCTAAAGATGGTGTACGCCAGTGGTAGATGATGTTCACCCTGTGTTTCCTCTCTCAGTTTAATAATATTACTGTCCTTAAAATGTGATATGTAACAAACAAAATTCTAAAAAAGTCATGTCATACTACCTGCCATATATTCTGTCATCATACATTGTTTGATATCGGTTTAAGAGCTCATGTTATCCTGTATGTCCTGTACCGTAGAAATTAAAGATGACTTACTTACGTATTTACTTTCTCCGTGTATTGCAGGGCTTAGTGTAGCCGTGGTAGATGACCAGCTGTATGCGGTTGGCGGACATTCAGGAAGCTCTTACCTCAACACGGTGCAGCGCTACGACCCCTGTAGCGACGAGTGGCAGGACGTGCGGCCGATGACAACGTGCCGATGCAGCTTCACCTCACAGTCCT